CTGTCTGCAACTTAAATATCAGTTTCAGTTAAATATCAGTTTAATTGAAATATCAGTTTCATTTAAATACCTGTCTGCAACTTAAATATCAGTTTAAATACTTCAATGTCAGTTAATTTAAATACCTGTTTGCAACTTAAATATCAGTTTAATTTACATGTAACATTTATTTAAATACCTGTTTGCAACCTAAATATCAGTTTAATTTAAATATCAGTTTAATTGAAATACCTATCTGCAACTTAAATATCAGTTTAAATACTTCAATACCAGCTTAATATAAATACCTGTTTGCAACTTAAATATCAGTTTAATTTAAATACCTGTTCACAACTCAAATATCAGTTTAAATACTTCAATACCAGTTTAATTTAAATACCTGTTCTCAACCTAAATATCAGTTTAATTGTAATATCAGTTTAATTTAAATATCTGTCTGCAACTTAAATATCAGTTTCATTTAAATATCAGTTTAATTGAAATATCAGTTTCATTTAAATACCTGTTTTCAACTTAAATATCAGTTTAATTTACATATAACTTTCATTTAAATACATGTTTGCAACTTAAATATCAGTTTAATTGTAATATTAGTTAATTTAAATACTTCAATACCAGCTTAATATAAATACCTCTTTGCAACTTAAATATCAGTTTAATTGTAATATCAGTTTAATTGAAATACCTGTTTGCAACTCAAATATCAGTTTAATTGTAATATCAGTTAATTTAAATACTTCAATACCAGTTTAATTTAAATACCTGTTTGCAACTTAAATGTCAGTTTAAATATTTCAATACCAGTTTAATATAAATACATCTTTTCAACCTAAATATCAGTTTCATTTACATACCAGTTTCATCTAAATACCTGGTTGCAACTTAAATATCAGTTTAATTTACATGTAACTTTTATTTAAATACATGCTTGCAACTTAAATATCAGTTTAAATACCTCAATACCAGTTTAATATAAATAATTGTTTGCAAATTAAATATCAGTTTAATTGTAATATAAGTTTCATTGAAATACCTGTTTGCAACTTAAATATCAGTTTAATTTAAATACCTGTTTGCAACTCAAATATCAGTTTAAATACCTCAATACCAGTTTAATATAAATACCTCTTTTCAACCTAAATATCAGTTTAATTGAAATATCAGTTTAATTTAAATACCTATCTGCAACTTAAATATCAGTTTCATTTAAATATCAGTTTAATTTACATATCAGTTTAATTTAAATATCAGTTTAAATACCTGTTTGTAACTTAAATACCAGTTTCATTTAAATACTTAAATACCAGTTTAATTGAAATACGTGTTTACAATTGAATCACATTTTTGCTCCTCTAACCAGCTTTCTTTAGGGATTTATTGCAGATTTGAGTTGTTAATTTTACAATTTCCTGGGAATTTTCTCTCCTTAGTCCCTGTCCTGTTTGTGCTGTTTCAGCACAAATTCCTCACAAAGGTGGGCTTGGGATTTGAAAGAAAAACCTTTCAAATTCCACATAAAACTTCTCCCCACAGCTAAACCCGAGCTTTTCTTTCCCCCATCCNTTTATTCCTGTTTGATATTAAACTAAAAATTTGAATTTTTGGTGCTTTTTTTAGGGTTCTGATGCTCCCCAGAAGCAGCAGATCAATAATGCTGAAAGCTACTTTGAAAATGCCAAGGTGGAATGTGCAGTGCAAGCCTGTCCTGAGCTGCTGAGAAAAGGTTCAGTTTGATTTCCAGCCCAAAAAATTCACATTTTAAATGCAAAACCAGTGAATGTCAATGCTCCACACAGAATATGGAATCAGTAAAACAATCAGGACAAAATAAAAATAATCGGTACAAAAATAAAAATAATCAGTACAAAAATAAAAAAAAAATCAGTACAAAAATAAAAATAATCAGTACAAAAATAAAAATAATCAGTACAATATTACAATTACAATAACACCAATAAATGAAGCAATTTAAAAGGGGATGTGGGTGTGTGGGATGAAGGCTGCCCTGCCCTGCAGGACAAACCCTGATTCCCCACATTTATATTTATTATATATTAATTGTAATGCTAATAACAATTCAAATAACACCAATAAATGAAGCAATTGAAAAGGGTGTGTGTGGGATGAAGGCTGCCCTGCCCTGCAGGACAAACTCTGTATTTATATTTTTATTTTTATTTTTATTTATTATATATTATTAATTGTATACCCACATTTATATTTATTATATATTAATTGTAATGCTAATAACAATTCAAATAACACCAATGAATGAAGCAATTTAAAAGGGGATGTGTGTGTGTGGGATGAAGGCTGCCCTGCAGAGCAGGACAAACTCTGTATTTATATTTATATTTTTATTTTTATGTGTCAGCTCTGAGTGCAGGGCCAGCTCTGGCAGGAAATGAAATTGGAATTTAGGGACTGGAGAAGTTCCTAAATACCTGTTAAGTACCGAAATACCTGTTTTCAACTTAAATATCAGTGATCCCGTTGCAGACCTGCAGGCGCTGTTCCCCGAGGCGCAGCCCCAGCGCCTGACGGTGCTGACGGTGACCCAGAGGAGCCAGCACGACATGAGCGTGTGGAGCCACGAGGTGGAGCAGGAGAGGGAGGCGCTGCTGGAGAACGTCAGTGCAGCACCAAAGCCCAATGCCCGTCCTGTACATCCCTGAGAGATGCCTGTGATATAGATCCATATTGTATAGAGAGATAGATATAATATAGATCCATGTTGTATATATGGAGAGATACGTGTGATATAGATCCATGTTGTATATATAGAGAGATATGTGGGATATAGATCCATGGTGTATAGATAGATACATGTGATGTAGATCCATATTGTATATAGAGAGACATGTGTAATATAGATCCATATTCTATATAGAGATACATGTGATATAGATCCATATTCTATATAGAGAGAGATAGATATAATATAGATCCATGTTGTATATAGAGAGATTTGTGTGATATAGATCCATATTCTATATAGAGAGATGTGTGATATAGATCCATATTGTATAGATACAGAGATATGTGTGATATAGACCCATATTGTATAGATATATAGATATAATATAGATCCATATTGTATATAGAGAGAGATATGTGGGATATAGATCCATGTTGTATATAGATAGATACGTGTGATATAGATCCATATTCTATATATAGAGAAATAGATATAATATAGATCCATATTGTATATAGAGAGAGATTTGTGTGATATAGATCCATATTGTATAGATACAGAGATACGTGTGATATAGATCCATGTTTTATATATACAGAGATATGTGTGATATAGATCCATGTTTTATATATACAGAGATATGTGTGATATAGATCCATATTGTATAGATAGAGAGATAGATATAATATAGATCCATGTTGTATATAGAGAGAGACATATATGATATAGATCCATATTCTATATATAGAGATAGATGTAATTTGCATCCATATCCTATAGAGATATATGATATAGATCCATATTCTGTATAGAGAGAGATAGATATAATATAGATCCATATTCTATATGTAGATATATAATACAAATCCATATTTTATATATATAATATCCACCCATATTTTATATAAAAATATATATAGATATATATAATTTAGATCCATATTATATATATAGATATATAGAACAGATCCATATTTTATATAGAGAAAGATGTATATATAATATAGATCCTTACAATATATATAGTGATATATAATATAAATCTATGTTCTATATATAGATATGTAACACAGATCCATATTTTTATATATATAATATAGATCCATATTTTGTATATATATAGATATATATAATTTAGATCCATATTCTACATATAGAGAGGTATAAATAATATAGTTCTATATTTTTATTTATAGATATTTATAATATAGATCCATATTATATATATATATAAAATAGAGATCCATAATTTATATATAGAGATATATAATTTAGATCTGTGTTTTATATATATATATATAATATAGATCCATGTTTTATATATAGACCCTTATTCTATATATATAGAGAGGTACATATAAATCTATATTCTATATATATAGAGAGATCTATACAATATAGATCTATATATAATATAGATCTCTATTGCATTATTAAATGTAATATATTAGATTATTATCTTTTTTACCATTTATAATACACTTCTATTTTAGTTCTTCGTTATTAATTATAATTTATATAATTTTAATATATAAATTTAATAATTTATAATTCTAATTATAAAAATTTAATTTAAATTTTTAATTATGATTCCACTGCAATTTTAATGGTCAAAAATTTAAAAATCACCATTTTCTCTGGGGTTTTTTTCCACTTTAATGGGTGTTTTTAATTCTTTTAACCCCAAATTCCAGTTGTGTTGTTTCATCTTAACTTTGTCTCTAGAGGGCTCTGAAAATCCCTTTATTTCCCATTTCCCCACCAAGTGTCGCTGTTCACTGCCCTCAGCACCTCAAAAAAAGAACATTTCTGCCTATTCTTTATAAAATATCCCCAAACCCAACATTTCATCTGGAAATAAAAAACATTTCTGCCTGAAATTAATTTGGGAATGCCCTAAAACACAAATATGGGCTGTCTAAATCAACCACAAAAAAAGGAATCAACACAAAATGACACAAAAATTCAAATTTCCTTCACTTCAGTGTGTTCTTCTCTTTGAATTATTTCTGAGATTAAAATCCTCATTTCAGGGGCAAAAAAATGAGAATAAAATCCTCATTTCAGGGGCTAAAAAATGAGATTAAAATCCTCATTTCAGGGGCTAAAAATGAGAATAAGATCCTCATTTCAGGGGCAAAAAAATGAGATTAAAATCTTCATTTCATGGGCTAAAAAATCAGATTAAAATCCTCATTTCAGGGGCTAAAAAATGAGAATAAAATCCTCATTTTAGGGGCTAAAAAATGAGAATAAAATCCTCATTTCATGGGCTAAAAAATGAGAATAAAATAATATAATTATTAATTACTAATACAAAATAATATTAATATTATTAATATTAATCCAAAATAAGGGTAAAATTCCCTAGTTTTGAATTAATACAGAATTTATTGTAAAGGATAAATTTCCTTTATTTTGAATTAATACAGAATTTATTGTAAAGGGGAAAATTCTCTCATTTTTAACAATCTACAATTCTAATACAGAATTTGGTGTAAAGGATAAATTTTCCTTATTTTGAACTAATACAGAATATAATTACTAATTACTAATATAAAATAATATTAATATTATTAATATTAATCCAAAATTTGGGTAAAATTCCCTAGTTTTGAATTAATACAGAATTTATTGTAAAGGGTAAATTTTCCTTATTTTAAACTAATACAGAATATAATGATTAATTACTAATACAAAATAATATTAATATTATTAATATTAATCTAAAATAAGGGTAAAATTCCCTAGTTTTGAATTAATACAGAATTTATTGTAAAAGATAAATTTTCCTTATTTTGAATTAATACAGAATTTATTGTAAAGGATAAATTTCCTTTATTTTGAACTAATACAGAATGTACTGTAAATTTCCCTTATTAATATTGATTCAAAATAAGAGTAAATTTTCCTTATTTTGAATTAATATTGAATTTATTATAAAAGGTAAATTTCTTTCATTTCGAACTAATACAGAATTTACTGTAAAGGGGAAAATTCCCTTATTTTGTGTTGAAAGGGATAAATTTTCCTTATTTTGAATTAATACAGAATTTATTTTAAAGGATAAATTTCCTTTATTTTGAACTAATAAAGAATTTACTGCAAAGGATAGATTTTCCTTATTTTGAATTAAAACAGAATTTATTGTAAAGGGTAAATTTTCTTTATTTTGAATTAATACAGAATTTTTTGTAAAGGATAAATTTTCCTTATTTTGAACTAATACAGAATATAATTATTAATTACTAATACAAAATAATATTAATATTATTAATCCAAAATAAGGGTAAAATTCCCTAGTTTTGAATTAATACAGAATTTATTGTAAAGGTAAATTTTCCTTATTTTGAACTAATACAGAATTTGCTGTAAAGGGTAAATTCCCTCATTTTAAATTAATACAGAATTTGCTGTAAAAGTTAAATTTCCCTCAAATTAATACAGAATTTGCTATAAAAATTAAATTTCCCTTATTTTGACCCTGTTAAGGGACTGAAGCTACATAAATCCTATTTTTATCAATTTGAAACCTTGACCTTTTCAGGCCACTAATTGCAGAGAAAATCCAATTTTTACAACTTGAAGTAAATAAATAATTTTATTTATAACAACTAAAGTCAGAAATCATTCATTTTCTGGGATAACCTCANAATGGTTCTGCCCTCCTCAGCTTTCCCGCCTCATCATTCCTCCCCCATTTTATGTACCTGCTCCCCCCATTTGGTGTGAAATGGTTCTGCCCTCAGCTTTCCCGCCACAGCCCTGCCAGTTCCATTGTCAATCTTGTAGGTGATAGAATTCCTCCTCCCCTTTTTCCCTCAGATGTATGTGTGCCTTTTCTCCTCCCTGGGCCAAGTGAAAACCTTTTTGTTGAAGCAAAGGAGGACGAGCCACCTTCAATTTATTGACTCAATCAGTCACTTTTATAACCGTGTTAATTAAGTTCATGCATATTGCAAAACCCAAGCTCACAATAGGTCAGAGACTACACACCAACCCCTCCTTTTGTTTTCAATACCAAGATTTGTGTTCTCAAAACTTACTTTTGCTTTCCCAAAACAGCCAAAAATAGAATATTTTCCTGTTATGAGAAAACTGCCTGAGAACTGGTATGAAAGGTTCTCAAGGCCTTCATGTTTGTCACTTTTGCTTTCTCATACCTTATGGGTTTTCCTCTTATCACAAGAGCCAGACTGAAATTTCTCTTATAGAATCAAACTTCAGGAATACAAAATAAATAAACTATAATAAAATAATAAAAACAATAGTAATAACGTTAGTAACAATTAATAATAATAATAATAATAATAATGGTAAGTAATGGAATAGCTCATTAACACCTGGGGAAGTATTCTGGGATGGATCTGGAGAATTCTATTCCAGATTTTCTCTCCTCCTCCAAGGACTAGATATTTACATGTAATTAAAAACAACCTGAGAACTCCTGCTGTTTACAGAGAATTTGCTCCCCACAGTGCTTTGGTGTGTTCTTAAGTTTGTCAGTTTGCTCCCCTATTTTCTGTATTAAATGGTTTCTTCCTTCCCTGTTAGTTCCCGCCCTGTCAGTTAGGTTGCCATGGAAACCTCGCTGTTCTTAGTTGCCGAAATGAAACTGCTCCTCCCATATTCTCCCTTATGAGTGAAAGTTGTCTCCTCCCTGGGCCAAATCACCCCCTTCTCCTCCCAGGTTTCGAGAATTTTCTTTTCTCTGGGAGTTATGGTTGGCTGTGGTCCCGGAGCCCCACTTATGCTTCATAACACTTGGTTACTTTGGTATATCAATTATGTTTCGCACCTCCAAAAATATGTATTACTATTGGTTAGCTGCCTTTTAAGTCATTTCTGAAAAAATCTCCAACACCTTTTATTGATTAATTATTATTATTATTATTTCTGTGTAGTTTTTTGGGCCTTACAGCAACAACCCCCTGCTGGAGACGGACGAGCGCTACCGGCACTTGGGCTTTGCTGTGGATGACCTGGGCTGCTGCAAAGTGATCAGGCACCACCTGTGGGGCACCCACGTGCTGGTGGGCACCATCTTCACCAACGCTGAGCCCGACAGCCCCATCATGAGGAAACTCAGTGGCCACTGAGCCCTCCCTGCTGCCATCCTGCCCTTCTCGGTGTCACCAGGCCTTCCTCGCTCTGGGTGTTCTTAGAGAATAAAAGTAGCTGGGATTTAATCTGGGCTCTTGGGAATGTGTGTTCACCACATGTGGATTGGTAAAAGTTTATTTCTGGGCTATTGGGAATGTGTGTTCACCACATGTGGATTGGTAAAAGTAGCTGGGATTTATTCCTGGGCTCTTGGGAATGTGTGTTCATCACATATGGATTGGTAAAAGTGGTTGGGATTTATTTCTGGGTTCTTGGGAATGTTCACCACGTGTGGATTGATAAAAGTAGCTGGGATTTATTATTTCTGGGCATTTGGGAATGTGTGTTCACCACGTGTGGATTGGTAAAAGTTTATTTCTGGGCTCTTGGGAATGTGTGTTCACCATGAGTGGATTGGTAAAAGTAGCTGGGATTTATTCCTGAGCTCTTGGGAATGTTCACCACATGTGGATTGGTAAAAGTGGCTGGGATTTATTTCTGGGCTCTTGGGAATGTTCACCACATGTGGATTGGTAAAAAGTAGCTGGGATTTATTATTTCTGGGCTCTTGGGAATGTGTGTTCACCACATGTGGATTGGTAAAAGTAGCTGGGATTTATTTCTGGGCTCTTGGGAATGTGTGTTCACC